TATCTTATGATTCTAAATAAATACTCAGAGAAGCATGGCTTGAGGTCTTCAGTCGAGAACTGCTGACCCCCTGTTTTATGCTCTCTGCTCTATCTCAAAAAAAAAAAAAAAAGAGTGGTGGACCCTGACGAAGAGGGACTGCCGCAGTGACTGTGGCAATGGGCTCCAGTATTTGAAGAAATGATGAGAATGACACCAGAGAGAGCTGGGTCGCTGTGAGTCATACTCAACTTGATGGCACAACAATGCTTCTTCCATAATGCTCACATTCATACATTCAACATTTATTGCTATATGCCATCTATGGCCCAATCCTTGTAGTAGGATGGAGATTCATAACACAGCCTTGCTCTCAAGATGTTTTAAGTCTCAAGGGAGCTCTGGTGGCCTAGTGGCAAGAAGCTGCACTGCAATCTCAGAGGAACAAAGTTCAAATCCACCAGATGCTCTGCTGGAGAAGGAGGAGCAATCTCCTCCTGTACCAGTCAGTCCCAATTTGACAGTACACACACAAAATATAATTTAAAAACAAAAAAAAAGAAAAGAAAAAGAAAGCAAAAAAAAAAAGATGTTTTCAGTCTCTGGTAGTAGACAAAGTAAATCGGACCCCCCCCCCCAAAAAAAAAAACCAAACTGCACTAAAATGGGCTTTTGACCTACCTTCTTATTTCATCCGTTAAGGAGACGATGTGTTCCTGCATTCTGCGCAAGCGAATCTCGTAGCGGACGTCTTTGGCTTGAGGGTTGTAGTTTCTAGCATAAAATCCCCTCCAGTAGGCCTGAAGCTTGGTGGCTGCTTCATTCAATTTTTGAAGAGAGACTTTATCTTGCTCTGAAGCAACAGATCTCTGGGTCAAACCCCTACAGGAAAGTTTCTCTGAAGCCATTTGACACGTGGTTTCTTCATTATCTGACCGTGTAAGGAAAACATTGTGTCCAAATGACTTAGGGTAAGATGTACGAACATGGTCCTCACCCTTTGAGCCAGTACTAGTTATTGTTGACTCAGGACAAGGTAAGAGTCTAGTCTTCTCATTTACCTCTGCACTGTTCTCAGTTTGCACAATTTTAATAGAATTCTCATTTGCAGCCCATAAAGCTTTTTCCTCTTCCTTATCTAAGTCCTGGTTTTCCAACCTTTTCACAGATTCATCTACAACCCCTTCATCTTCTAAGTCCAAGTTAATACCTTGTAGCCTCAGTTCAACTGTAGGTGATACTGGAGATAATCCTGAAGCAACTGGCATAAAAGTAGACTCTGAAGAGAGTAAACTACAGTTTAACTTGTCCTCATCCGTCTGTATGTCTTCTAGGTGCAGATCATTTCGAGAATATCTTGGAGTGTGTATAGAGGCTGGAAAGTTGCTCTTAACAGTATACAACTGCTCTTCTTTACTGCTTATCCCAACCCAAGAATTGATTTGGATGACAGGTTCTACAGAGAAAAATAAATGTATCATTTACATCACTAAATATTTCAAGAGGTTTTTGTAGTTATATTCTATTAAATCTAATCCCTTACATCTGGCAAAATGTAATACAACACCATAATAATTCTCTCCATTATGCCTAAAATATCAAACAAAATATTCTTTTAAGAAAATGAACTCTAAACAAATCACAAGAATCATCAAAACATCAGTTCTACACAAGAAGCAGAAGGATTAAAAATCATTTGAAATATTAGAAATAAAAGTTACACACACACGATAGATAGATTGACAGATCGATAGATAGATACACACACACACACACATATATACCTATATATACTTACATATTGTTTATATAGGGAGCTCTAGTGGCTGAGTGATAAGGAGTTATGCTGCCAACCCAAAGGCATGTAATTCGAATCCACAGGAGAAAGATGGCTAATCTTGTTCCATGAGAGATTTATTACCTCTGAAAACCCACTGGAGGGTCAACTATAACTCAGTTCCAAGTCAATAACATATTACATCAACAAAAATATAATAAGTAAGATCTGTCTTGGAGAGGGTAAAACCAAGTTTGTCCTTGGAGGCTAGGATTTTGAAGTTCTGTCTCACATACTTTGGGAATGTGGCCAGGAGGGACTGGTCCTTGGAGAATGACATGACGCTCAGAAGGGTGGAGGGAGATCTCAGGAGAGGAAGACCCCGCATGAGAAGGACTGACTGATACAGTAACCGGAGTAATGAGGATAGGCATGCTGGAGTCAGTAAAACTGGCTCAGGACAGGGCAGACTTCCGAGTCTATACAAGGATCACTATGAATCACAGGTGACTCAATGGCACATAACAAATGATCACCAACTAACCAACCAACAACAACAACAAAAAAATTCAGAAAAATAACCACTTTCTTCTGTTTTACAGTCCCAAACAAATCAAATGACTTACCATTTTCCTGTACTATTTGGCAATCTTGAATAGGACTTGAACACTCAGGTATAATGGGTGACTTTGTTTCAACAGGAGCAGGAGAGGATATATCATCATTTTGGCTTTGAGTCATTAACTGTCTCTGGTGAAACCTGAGAAATCAACATCAGATATAATTTAATACACAACAAACCCCTAAAAGATGGCTTTTCTGCTTTCTATGTGATAAAGTCCACATGGTGAAAGTTCAAATGTTTTAAAAGTAGTTAACTTTCACAAACTTCAAATTATAAGACCACATTTGAGACAACTTGATAGAAAAGGTTAAGAAACCTTTAAATTGCATAAACCCACTCTGCTAAAAGTGACAACTTTTAAATTCTCTGTATTTCTTAATGTTATTTAAAGCCCTATCTAAACAGTTACCGCAACAGAAAAAATAAATTTGTTATGAATCACATGTGCCCACACTGCTTAGCTCTTCCTTAAGAGGAAGTGCTCGGCAATGCAGAGGGCTGAGTGAGCAGGACTGCCCTGTGTGACTGAGGACTCCTGCAGGATTGTCACAGTCATCAGGGCTTGAATGGGCAGAAGCAAATAGGGGGAGCTACAGCACTGCCTTTCATATATCACTTAGCTCTATGAACACTGCAGAAAATACTCGGAAATACTTTCACTTGTAATTTCATGAGTAAGTTAATTAATAAATTAATTGGATTTACCTCTGCTTGCTCAGAATCTTCTCTAGCTTGGCATCCTCTGCAGTTTGAAGACCCAGTGTAGAAGTGAGAGGACACACTGTAGCCAAATACTGGACAAGCTGGATGTGCTGGCTAGGCCTATACGCTCTCCCTTTGCCTTGACTATAGAGCCACTCTGCTTTCAAACTGAAAGTGGGGGAAATAAAGTAAAAAATGGGACTGACGTGAGTAAGAAACATTTTTAAGCAACAATGAACTTCTTTCTTAAAATAGGGTTTTTTTCCATAAATTAAATAAAATTTACACGTTTGATAAAAGAAAAATCCTTTTTTTAACTTCCCCCCTCACCCCACTCTAATATGCTTTACCTTTTTTGCTCAGGATAATTTCTACAGAATTTTATTAGTGATTTCAAATATTTTTAAATCTTTTCAAAGAAGCAGTAAGTATTTCCTCCATCAACTCTGTCAAAACTAAGTTCCTAAATAGACCAACTGGGTTTAAATGCATGATTTTATAATGATAGTTAAAAATAATAAATTCATCAATGTTGGAAGAAGTAGTGAATTACCTACTAGTTCATTTCTTTAAAAAATGGTAAATAAAAGAATTCAATATTACTAATTGTACTTTTTCTGTAAAAATCATAAGTATAACCAAATCATACCTTCACATAAGTATTCCAGGTTATAAAGAAAGGAATAACAGAACTGGAAGTACACTACTTTGCAACCCCTAAAGATTTAGGAAGCAGCAGTGGCATCCACTTCTAAACAACATCCCTCTGAAAACTCAATGAACTTTGATAAAAATTGACAGTTATAGAAAGGCTTCAGGCCTTTTGTCCATAGGGTTGCTGGGAGTCGCGCTAGACTCGACAGCAACCAACAACACAGCAAAGACTTAGTGAATCAATCCTTATGATGCTACGGTTAAAATACTCACCTGCTAACCAAGAATTTGACAGTACAAACCCACCGGCTGCTCTGTGGCTACAACTGGGCTTCAGTGAAGACTTACAGCCTTGGAAACCCTATGAAGCACTTTTCTGTCTTACAGGATCACTCTTAGTCAGACATGACTTCACAGCATTGGGAATGACTTAAGGAAGAAGCTCTGGTAAGGCAAGTATTAATGTATTCAGCTGCTAACCCAAAAGTCAGCAACTGGAACCCATCTGGGGAGACAGCCTGCTTCTAAAAGATGACAGCTTTGAAAAACCTAGATAGAGGAACATTCTCTCTGTAATTGGTTCTATCTTCTAATCCAGTAGGGGGTCCTACAGGATTGCTATGAGTCAAATCAATTCAATGAGAATTGAGATGTAATGACTTGATGACTCTAAACATTAATCAAAGCTACTAACACAGACACTACAAAAGCAAGGCACAAGCTCAACACACAAAAATTAGCTCGGTTCCTCTACGTAAACAAAGAAAACCCTAAAAAGCAAATTAAGAAAACAACACTAGATACCATCTCACCCCAGTAACAATAGCTAAATTTGACAGGGCAGCAAGCAACAAATGCTGGCAAGGTTGTAGAAAGATGGGAACTCTTATTCACCGCTTATGGGAATGTAAATTGGTACAACACTATGGAAGGTGATCTGGCACTTTCTCAGAAAGGTGGAAATGATGCACACCCATGTTAATCATGGCTTTGTTCACAATAGCAAGGAGTTGGAAAAAACCTAAGTGCCCATCAACAAATGAACGGATAGAGAAGCTCTGGTATATTCACACAATGGAATACTATGCTGCATTGAAAAACAAAGAACTCATGCAATATTATTCAAAATGGGTGACCCTGGAAGACATTATGCTGAGTGAAATATCTCAGTCACAAAAGGACAAATACGGCATAGTGCCACTTGTAAAACAGGACTGACATCAGGGTTGAGGGGAGAGTGAAAGAGATGGGATAAATAATGTATACTGCATTGAAACAGATGAAGGAGAAACCTGTTTAAAAGGGATATGTGATTAGGTATTATTGTCACGACAGGAGTCCAGAGTGAAGGCTGCATAGTGGAGTGGACCTGGGAGGAGGGATGGTAAAACAATGAAAGAATTTTTCTTTTACTTTTCAAAGAGAAGAGTGTACTGGGGGGAGGGGTTGGGCAGGGAGAAAAGTGCAACAATGAATGAATGGAAATCCAAAGTCTCTGTCAATTTTCATTAAAATTAATAATAATAAAAAAATTTTTTAAAAA